CTTGAAACCATAAGAAGTATACGTGATTATTAAAAAATTAGAAAAAGATACAATTTGCATTTTATGGAGGATACAATTTTTTGGGGATTACAAAATAATGTACTAAAACATTAAAAGTAATAAGTTCAAATCTGTAGCAAATATAACTATTGTAATCATTTCTTATAAATACGATTTCCTAATGTAATTTTCCAAGATATTAAAGGTCATAATGCAAAAAAAACTAAATTTATTAAAAGTAATAGGCTTTATGTTTCTTAAACTACCTACATTTGTCAAAGTATTTATCAATTTTCGAAAATATTCGTTCACTAGTTTTATTGTTGGACTGAAATATAGCAAGACTTGCATTGCCTACTAAGAAAGTTAGTAGCCGTAGTCATTGGGCTAGAAGATTCGCAAAGACGCTAGTGCGTGTTACGTGCGCGTTTTTGAATGTATATAAGCGCGCCAGATAAAGGAGAGGATCATTCAGAACTGGAGTAGCAGAGAGGGAGATTCAAGTTATAGATACCGATAACCACCATAAGTAAAGTGCGTGAATCGTTCGTTGTGAATTATAGCGTGTGTTGAAGGTTAAAGAATTTCTACGGAAAAGTAACAAACGAACACAAAGACGTAACAAATTGGTGTCAGAAAGTGGGATGGAAAAGAAAAATGGAAACGAGAAGTGGCAAATCAAACTACAGCTTAGCAGATTTGATGGCAGCAATACAAGAACAGAATAAGAAACAAAAGAACGAGAAAATAAACAAGAAGAGAGATTAGAGCAGTTGTTGGAGGAAAAAGAAAATAAACAAAAAGGGAGATTACAGCAGTTGTTGGAGGAAAAAGAAACAAAAAGAGATATTACAACAGTTGTTGGAGGAAAAAGAAAAGAAACAAGAAGAACAAGAAAATAAACAAGAAGAGAGACTACAGCAGTGGCAATTGGAACAAGAAAGGAAACAAGAAGCACAAATGGAAAAGCTTAGTAAATTTCAAAGCGAATTAAATACATTAAAAGATGATTTATTGTCTTTTACACAAGGAGGATACATTAACCATCGGCTTAATCAGACCCAGACAATGGCAAACCCCTTTCAGAACCCCCGCAGCTAAACCCTAATGCAGACATAGTCAGTCCCGTCAGAAGTCACATCCCAGATATGAATGTCAGCAATAGGGGCGATCCAGTACAAAGGAAGCCACAGGAATTCGGTGGGATGTCACCTTGGGAGCATATAGAGCACAATATGAGCTCCTGGTATAGATGAATGGATGGACAGAAGAGCAGACAGCAGTATAGCTTGAAGGGACAACCACTGGAAATACTTAGACAGTTGTCAGCAGACGACAGGCACAACTATAGAGCACTGGTAGCGGCTCTAGAACCCAGGTATGGAATCCAAAATCAGTCTGAAGTCTACAGGGCTAGGTTTAGGACGAGAGTCCATGCTAAAGGGAAGAGCCTGCAATAGCTGGCACAGGATTTAGAAAGTATGTCACACAAGGCCTACCCAACTGCGCCACCCGATCTCCTCAAGCTGTTGCTTAGAGATCAGTTTGTAGATGCCTTGGACAGTCAACTACTGAAGATACTAGTGAAGCAAGCAAACCCATCTACTACGCAGGATGCAATGGCCAGAGCTCTTGAATTCGAATCCTATGTTAAGTCCAGCACAGAGGTATCAAGGTTGGAACAGTTATCAGGATTCAAGGCCAGAAAAGGGCAGCTTTCAGAGAAGTTTGAGGGACTTTGCTGGCACTGTAACAAACCTGGGCACAATAGA